CCCAGCCCCGGCTACAGAGGAAAGTTGCGGTCGGTCACGTGCTGCGGCCGCACCCCCGGGGACACCGCGGCGGACGACCTGCTGCGCCCTGCTAGGGCTCGAGGGGGACGCGAGACTCCCCTGCGCTCCCAAACTGTTCGGAAGCCAGAGTTGGCGTTGAGTCCGGAGACAGCGTAGGGGCCGGGGTGGGCGGGTAGAACTGCTGAGCGTTGGCCCCGGCTCCCCTCCCCCTGAACACCGTGGGGAGGAAGGGAGGCTGACCCTGACCTCCGGCCAGGCCCACACCCAGAGATGCTGGCGAGCTCTTGTTCGACAAGTTCAAGCTGCCCAGAGAGCTTAAATAGAATTAATCTCTTAGAGATCGGGGATCACCGTTCCCTCGGTGCGCGCTCCCCGAGCGCCGCGTCAAGGCCAGGAATTGCGGGAGGGCGGGACGAGGGGAGCTCTCCAAAATCCAGGCCCTGGAGAGGGCGATCCCGCGACACTAGCTGGGGACCAGCAGAGGGGAGGAAAGCTCTGCCTCCCCGCCGCTCCAGAGCTTCTAACGGAGGCTAGGGGCGCTTCGGGCAGCTCCGGATGGGAAGAAGCTGGAGCTGCCCTCTCCGCGGCTGGTGCCCAAACCCACCGAGCCTGGGGGAAGCGGAGCTCCGGAAGAGCCAGTCCCAGGCCCCGAGCGTCCTGACTTTGCATAGATAGTTGCAAAATGAATAAATTACTCACCTCGGTTCAGATCCAAGTTGTACCCCACAGAAGGAGCACGGGACCAAGAATGAACCAATTCACATGGTCATGTCCGGCGTGCACAATCAAAACACAGCCACGCACTTTCTTCCATGAATCTGTCTGGTACTCCTGGAGAGAGGGAGAAAGCGTTTTGAGAAAGCCCATCACCCCTCCCCTTCTCCCTCGCCAAGAAATATAATAATTCATTTTTATTACAAGAGCAGTACCGTCTCACCTTCACGCACGTAGAGTCCCATATTCACACTCTTAACTCCTCAGCTCCAAGAGCGCCTGCATTTTCTTTGGGAGCCGCTGGGAGGTTCATTAATATCATTAGCATTTAACCCCCTCCCTCTTCCCAACTCCTCCCCGCACATGGCTGACGTCAGACCCCGCCAGGAGTTGGGGGAAAAGCTAAGTGGGCCAGGGACGCCCTATTCCCCTCCCAGCGGCTGCCTGTCAGAGCGCTTCTGGAGATATTACAGGGGACCCAGCCCGCAGCGACAGGCACAAAGTCACGGAGTAATGAACTTCGGGGACCCTTTGCAGCTGCGTGAGCGGCTCTCCCCGGAAACCCGGACCCGGCCACCTCTTGCCTCCGAAGATTTCCTAGCAATTTAGTTTTCCTACTCCGCTCTCAGGTTCCGGCAGCGCGGAGCCCATCTGCCTCTGAGACTACGGTTGTGTGTTTCATCTTTCTTAAAATCAGCGGTCTGTAGAGATTTGCCAACACTCTGCATGCCAGCGTAGAGGGAGAGATTGAAAACTGAGTGACAGGAATGGGGAAAGAGAGAGTTTTTGCCTTTTTTGCACCGTAGGAAGGCCATTTTCGTGTCTCCGTCCCTGTCCTTCAATTCTTCCCTCGTGCTGTCCTCCCTTCTTCAGCCTGCCTGTCCATCTCTCCGTCTGTGTGTGCATGTGTGTGTCCATATCGAGCAGCATTCCCAGCAGCTGCAGTTTTGCAAGAGCCGGGAATAAACTTAAGGATGCTTAAATTTCCACTGTGGAACGAATTTTGAGCGTCTGGAGAACAGCGCCGCACGCGAGCGATACCCACCTGCCCAGCCCCGGAGCTTCGCAGGCTGGAGGGCGGCTGGCGAGCTGCGGCGCCGGGCA